ACTGGCTGACTTGTGATGATAACAACACCTGGTGGTTTTAACTGGCTGACTTGTGATGATAACAATACCTGGTGGTTTTAACTGGCTGACTTGTGATGATAACAATACCTGGTGGTTTTAACTGGCTGACTTGTGATGATAACAATACCTGGTGGTTTTAACTGGCTGACTTGTGATGATAACAATACCTGGTGGTTTTAACTGGCTGACTTGTGATGATAACAATACCTGGTGGTTTTAACTGGCTGACTTGTGATGATAACAATACCTGGTGGTTTTAACTGGCTGACTTGTGATGATAACAATACCTGGTGGTTTTAACTGGCTGACTTGTGATGATAACAATACCTGGTGGTTTTAACTGGCTGACTTGTGATGATAACAATACCTGGTGGTTTTAACTGGCTGACTTGTGATGATAACAATACCTGGTGGTTTTAACTGGCTGACTTGTGATGATAACAATACCTGGTGGTTTTAACTGGCTGACTTGTGATGATAACAATACCTGGTGGTTTTAACTGGCTGACTTGTGATGATAACAATACCTGGTGGTTTTAACTGGCTGACTTGTGATGATAACAATACCTGGTGGTTTTAACTGGCTGACTTGTGATGATAACAATACCTGGTGGTTTTAACTGGCTGACTTGTGATGATAACAATACCTGGTGGTTTTAACTGGCTGACTTGTGATGATAACAATACCTGGTGGTTTTAACTGGCTGACTTGTGATGATAACAATACCTGGTGGTTTTAACTGGCTGACTTGTGATGATAACAATACCTGGTGGTTTTAACTGGCTGACTTGTGATGATAACAACACCTGGTGGTTTTAACTGGCTGACTTGTGATGATAACAATACCTGGTGGTTTTAACTGGCTGACTTGTGATGATAACAATACCTGGTGGTTTTAACTGGATGACTTGTGATGATAACAACACCTGGTGGTTTTAGCTGGCTGACTTGTGATGATAACAATACCTGGTGGTTTTAACTGGCTGACTTGTGATGATAACAACACCTGGTGGTTTTAACTGGTTGACTTGTGATGATAACAATACCTGGTGGTTTTAACTGGCTGACTTGTGTTGATAACAACACCTGGTGGTTTTAACTGGCTGACTTGTGATGATAACAACACCTGGTGGTTTTAACTGGTTGACTTGTGATGATAACAATACCTGGTGGTTTTAACTGGATGACTTGTGATGATAACAATACCTGGTGGTTTTAACTGGTTGACTTGTGATGATAACAATACCTGGTGGTTTTAACTGGCTGATTTTTTTTATAATAACAACCACCTGGTGGTTTTAAATGGTTGACTTCCTTTTAGTTGATTGTGGAAAGATCAAAGCTATTCAAAGGAAATCCTGTGAATTACTCCCCTAACTCAAATACAAAATTGGACGCTGAAATCAGTAGTACTAGAGTATTCTAATGCAAAACGTGAAATGACTCAATTATTCAAGAATATAGCATTCTAAAAGGAAATAATAGAGAGAACACGCATAAAATACATGCGGCAAAGAAACGTGGTATCTTTGAATGACCGTGTGGGTACAAATAAAGGGTCATCGATCCCTTAAGAAGACCCACTGATTAAGAGACAATGTATTGACACAGCCTTTTTAAAAAGAAAAGTATAGTAATTAGCTGACTGCATAGTTAAAAACCCGTTAAGGGTAAATAAAATTTCAAACAGCATTAAAGTCGGGCTAGACATCTACTGAGGTGGACTAGGCATCTACTGATGTGGGCGAGACATTTACTGATCTGGGCTAGACATCTAGTGAGGTGGACTAGACATCTACTGAGGTGGACTAGGCATCTACTGATGTGGGCGAGACATTTACTGATCTGGGCTAGACATCTAGTGAGGTGGACTAGACATCTACTGAGGTGGACTAGGCATCTACTGATGTGGGCGAGACATTTACTGATCTGGGCTAGACATCTAGTGAGGTGGACTAGACATCTACTGAGGTGGACTAGGCATCTACTGATGTGGGCGAGACATTTACTGATCTGTGCTAGACATCTAGTGAGGTGGACTAGACATCTACTGAGGTGGACTAGGCATCTACTGATGTTGGCGAGACATTTACTGATCTGGGCTAGACATCTAGTGAGGTGGACTAGACATCTACTGAGGTGGACTAGGC